GCTCTTATATGGGTGTGAAGCGTGGGTGATGAATGTTGCAGCGAGGAGAAGGCTGGAGCAGTGGAGATGTCATGTCTGAGGGCAATGTGTGGTGTGAATATAATGCAGAGAATTCGTAGTTTGGAAGTTAGGAGGAGGTGCGGGATTACCAAAACTGTTGTCCAGAGGGCTGAGGAAGGGTTGGTTGAGGTGGTTCGGACATGTAGAGAGAATGGAGCGAAACAGAATGACTTCAAGAGTGTATCAGTCTGTAGTGGAAGGAAGGCGGGGTAGGGGTCGGCCTAGGAAGGGTTGGAGGGAGGGGGTAAAGGAGGTTTTGTGTGCGAGGGGCTTGGACTTCCAGCAGGCACGCGTGAGCGTGTTTGATAGGAGTGAATGGAGACAAATGGTTTTTAATACTTGACGTGCTGTTGGATTGTAAGCAAGGTAAAATTTATGAATGGATTCAGGGAAACCGGCAGGCCGGACTTGAGTCCTGGAGATGGGAAGTACAGTGCCTGCACTCTGAAGGAGGGGTGTTAATGTTGCAGTTTAAAAACTGTAGTGTAAAGCACCCTTCTGGCAAGACAGTGATGGAGCGAATGATGGTGAAATTTTTTTCTTTTCGGGCCACCCTGCCTTGGTGGGAATCGGCCGGGTGTGATAATAATAATAGGAATATATATATAATATATATATATATATATATATATTATATATATATATATATATATATATATATATATATATATATATATAATATATATATATATATATATATATTATAATATATATATATAATTATATATATATATATATATATATAATGCAAAACAACCACTCTGAAAGAATAGAGAAATTCCAAGCGCTTTCGTGACTACTCACATTATCAAGGAACTATGAAAGTAAAGCATCCAAGGAAGCTATATAAGGGGTCTGGCCAGCACCTCACTATCAGATCCCACAACGGTTAAACACCTGACGCGCGCCGACCCAACTTGGATAGGTCATTTGCACAACTCACCCCACAAACTATTCTACCCAAGAAAATTTAAAAATTATTTGTCCAGTGTATTATTAAATTCTTCCCAAATTCTATTAATTATAAATGGGAAGAATTTAATAAAACACTGGACAAATAATTTTTAAATTTTCTTGGGTAGAATAGTTTGTGGGGTGAGTTGTGCGAAGGACCTATCCAAGTTGGGTCGGCGCGCGTCATGTGTTTAAATGTTGTGGGATCTGATAGTGAGGTGCTGGCCAGACCCCTTATATAGCTTCCTTGGATGCTTTACTTTCATAGTTCCTTGATAATGTGAGTAGTCACGAAAGCGCTTGGAATTTCTCTATTCTTTCAGAGTGGTTGTTTTGCATATTCTGAAATCACCTGTTTACTGTGATCTTATTGCATATATATATATATATATATATATATATATATATATATATATATATATATATATATATATATAATATATATATATATATATATATATATATCCACACAGACAAATACACCTCTTGATAGCGTCTATGTCTATACAAAAATATAGACACATATCCTTGTGTATATACATGTGATATACATCACTGTACATACAGCAAGTGGTACGCATCTCTGTATACACACACTGATATACTCATCGGTGTATAAGCACCGACAGACAATTTTGTCATCCTTCTCTGTATGTTCACCAACACATTTGTATTGTGTAGTATGGAGACCAAGACTGTGGTGTATAATGCAAGTCCTTACACTCACTGACTTTACGAAGTGATAATAAACCACGGAACGGATGGTATTTGAACTACCCAGGCCAGGCTTATGCACTGGCCTGGAGTCTTGGGACTCGCTTGCCATGGATTTCAACCCCCCCACCCGTTCCATGGTTTACCTCTCAGTATATGTACACTGAGAGATAAGACTTAAACGAGACATACCAACAATACCACAGTACCAACAATACCACCAGTCCGATAACATTCTTCTTGGCAAATATACAGGATCTAAAGCCAGCAACAAAAAACAAAATACCTTTCATCCGTGGACGGCTTGCAGAGGCAAAGGCAATGTTCGCGGCTTTCACTGAGACCCACATAAAGGATCACTTGGACAACGAAATATGGATGCCAGGTTACAACCTATACAGATGTGACAGAGTGAACAGGCAAAAGGGGGGGGGGGGTTGGCCTGTACATTGCAGAGTCACTTGTTTGCACAGAACTGCTAAATGCCTCAAATGATGTAGTGGAAGTTTTAGCAGTAAAGGTCGAGAACCAAAACCTAGTCATTGTGGTAGTCTACAAGCCTCCGGATGCAACATCCCAGCAATTCCAGGAACAGCTGTTAAAAATTGACCACTGTCTGGAAAATCTTCCAGCTCCTGCACCCAACATCTTGCTCCTGGGGGATTTCAACTTAAGGCACCTAAAATGGAGGAATATAGCAAATAATATTGTTGCAGTAATAACACCAGGAGGCAGCTCTGATGAAAACTCACACTCACGCGAGCTTTTAAATCTCTGCACAAAATTCAATTTAAACCAGCAAATAATAGAGCCTACTAGACTGGAGAATACACTAGACCTCATCTTCACTAACAATGATGATCTGATAAGAAATGTCACCATATCAAAAACAATATACTCAGATCACAACATAATTGAGGTTCAGTCATGTATGCGTGGAGCCCCAGACCGACACAATGAGACTAGTCACGAGGGAGCATTCACCAAATTCAACTTCAATAACAAAAACATAAAGTGGGACCAAGTAAACCAAATATTAACTGATATAAGCTGGGAAGATATACTAAGCAACACAGACCCCAACTTATGCCTAGAACAGATTAACTCGGTGGCATTCGATGTATGCACAAGGCTTATTCCTCTAAGAAAAAGGTGGAGTAGATGTAAAATAGAAAGAGACAGGCGCTCTCTTTACAGGCGACGGAAAAGAATAACAGAGCGGCTAAAAGAGGTCAATATATCTGAAATGCGTAGGGAGACACTGGTCAGAGAAATAGCAAGCATCGAACTTAAGCTAAAAAAATCCTTTAGGAGTCAGGAATCGCGGGAAGAACTAAAAGCCATAAACGAAATCGAAAGAAACCCAAAGTATTTCTTCTCCTATGCCAAATCAAAATCGAGAACAACGTCCAGTATTGGGCCCCTTCTTAAACAAGATGGGTCCTACACAGATGACAGCAAGGAAATGAGTGAGCTACACTAGTCCCAATATGACTCAGTTTTTAGCAAGCCGCTAACCAGACTGAGAGTCGAAGATCAAAATGAATTTTTTATGAGAGAGCCACAAAATTTGATTAACACAAGCCTATCCGATGTTATCCTGACGCCAAATGACTTCGAACAGGCGATAAATGACATGCCCATGCACTCTGCCCCAGGGCCAGACTCATGGAACTCTGTGTTCATCAAGAACTGCAAGAAGCCCCTATCACGAGCTTTTACCATCCTATGGAGAGGGAGCATGGACACGGGGGTCGTCCCACAGTTACTAAAAACAACAGACATAGCCCCACTCCACAAAGAGGGCAGTAAAGCAACAGCAAAGAACTACAGACCAATAGTACTAACATCCCATATCATAAAAATCTTTGAAAGGGTTCTAAGAAGCAAGATCACCACCCATCTAGAAACCCATCAGTTACACAACCCAGGGCAACATGGGTTTAGAACAGGTCGCTCCTGTCTGTCTCAACTATTGGATCACTACGACAAGGTCCTAAATGCACTAGAAGACAAAAAGAATGCAGATGTAATATATACAGATTTTGCAAAAGCCTTCGACAAGTGTGACCATGGCGTAATAGCGCACAAAATGCATGCTAAAGGAATAACGGGAAAAGTCGGTCGATGGATCTATAATTTTCTCACTAACAGAACACAGAGAGTAGTAGTTAACAGAGTAAAGTCCGAGGCAGCTACGGTGAAAAGCTCTGTTCCACAAGGCACAGTACTCGCTCCCATCTTGTTCCTCATCCTCATATCCGACATAGACAAGGATGTCAGCCACAGCACCGTGTCTTCCTTTGCAGATGACACCCGAATCTGCATGACAGTGTCTTCCATTGCAGACACTGTAAAGCTCCAGGCGGACATCAACCAAATCTTTCAGTGGGCTGCAGAAAACAATATGAAGTTCAACGATGAGAAATTTCAATTACTCAGATATGGTAAACATGAGGAAATTAAATCTTCATCAGAGTACAAAACAAATTCTGGCCACAAAATAGAGCGAAACACCAACGTCAAAGACCTGGGAGTGATCATGTCGGAGGATCTCACCTTCAAGGACCATAACATTGTATCAATCGCATCTGCTAGAAAAATGACAGGATGGATAATGAGAACCTTCAAAACTAGGGAGGCCAAGCCCATGATGACACTCTTCAGGTCACTTGTTCTATCTAGGCTGGAATATTGCTGCACACACTAACAGCACCTTTCAAGGCAGGTGAAATTGCCGACCTAGAAAATGTACAGAGAACTTTCACGGCGCGCATAACGGAGATAAAACACCTCAATTATTGGGAGCGCTTGAGGTTCCTAAACCTGTATTCCCTGGAACGCAGGAGGGAGAGATACATGATTATATACACATGGAAAATCCTAGAGGGACTAGTACCGAACTTGCACACGAAAATCACTCACTACGAAAGCAAAAGACTTGGCAGACGATGCACCATCCCCCCAATGAAAAGCAGGGGTGTCACTAGCACGTTAAGAGACCATACAATAAGTGTCAGGGGCCCGAGACTGTTCAACTGCCTCCCAGCACACATAAGGGGGATTACCAACAGACCCCTGGCAGTCTTCAAGCTGGCACTGGACAAGCACTTAAAGTCAGTTCCTGATCAGCCGGGCTGTGGCTCGTACGTTGGTTTGCGTGCAGCCAGTAGCAACAACCTGGTTGATCAGGCTCTGATCCACCAGGAGGCCTGGTCACAGACCGGGCCGCGGGGGCGTTGACCCCCGGAACTCTCTCCAGGTAAACTCACCTGTAGTGTTGTTGAGCCCACTTGACCAGCCAGGTGGGTTGTTCTAGACACCACGGCGTCTGCTCCCTGCAGGAGGGGGAGGGGGAAGGAAGGTGAGATACGTCAGAATCGACAAAAAAATATTTTTACCCACAATGTTAATGAAAAAACTTCAGAGGAAGCGTGTATCGGGACAATGTTTCGCTCTGTGCGAAGCTTAATCAAGTCATAAGCTTACATGAGTTTAGTCATTCACAACAGCTATAAATTTTGATATTTTGGTAAAAGACTATGGTATTTTATATATATATATATTAATATATATATATATATATATATATATTATATATATATATATAAAATATATATATAATATATATAAAATTAAAATAGGTAGTGGGTTTGGTAGACAGCAACCGCCCAGGGAGGTACTACCATCCTCCCAAAGGAGTGTAAAATGAAAGCCTGTAATTGTTTTACATGATGGTAGATTGCTGGTGTCCTTTTTTTCTGTCTCATAAACATGCAAAATTTCAGGCACATCTGCTACTTCTACTTACACTTGGGTCACACTACACATGCATGTACAAGCATATATATACACACCCCTCTGGGTTTTCTTCTATTTTCTTTCTAGTTCTTGTTCTTGTTTATTTCCTCTTATCTCCATGGGGAAGTGGAACAGAATTCTCCTCCGTAGGCCATGCGTGTTGTAAGAGGCGACTAAAAGGGCCGGGTGAAAGGGGGCTAGTAACCCCTTCTCCTGTATAATTACTAAATTTGAAAGGAAAAAATTTGGTTTTTTCTTTTGGGCCACCCCCGCCCGGTGGGATACGGCCGGGTGTTGAAAGAAAGATATATATATATATATATATATATATATATATATATATATATATATATATATATATATAATATATTATATAATATATCTAAGGATGTCTTTTATTCTCACAAGCATATTCACATAGGAATATTTTAAATATGAATCTCCTACAGCTCATCATAAACAGGTCAGGAACCAAGAATGCAGCAGGTATTTCCTCTCTGGATTGCCACACAGGTGCTGGAATGGGGAAGTAGCAACCTTTGGACCTCCAGCAGTGCTGATGAACTTGGAAACCAGTTCATTAACCAAATGTTATGTACGTTTAACCCGAGGTGAAAGAGTCTCCGATCCTGCTGGGAGAAAGCGGTACTAATAACCTAAGTTCATCATGTCTGTTGAACTTTTAGAGTCTTCCCTGTGATGATCAATGTCTGGCTCTCAGATGTGTGTCTACATCAGTTGTCTGCCACTCCCCCAGTTACACTGTGATCATATCATTGCTGTTAGCAGGATTACCAGGATAGTGGGATACTAGGCATCAGAATTCTCAAGGCTCCTCTTGATGCTGGCTCTATTGTATCTTGCATTATATCTTTGCACAATTTAGATCATTTAGACCATATCAGCTTCCACCTTGCCGCAAATACATCAGTACTCAAGTTTCAATAGGGGCAATATGGAGGGTCCATGGGTAGAGTTGTATACCCATTTGCTAAAAATTGGAACTGTTATGAAGTCTCTCAAGTGATGTGCGCTCACAGCTGTGAGACAGCCTATCTCCAATCTCCATGTTGGATATTGCAGTAATGAGCATATATTTACACATTTGTGCAATAAGGCTGTCCCAGATGGATTGTGTGCAAGCTTTCGTCACTGCTGGTGTAGATGCTGAACCTACGAGTCTTCAACCCAGTATTATTGCTAAAGCACTCAGGTGGTCTAGTAGAATTTGCTTAACTAATTAATTTGAGGCACTGGAGTAAGTACGTATTCTCACTACACACACACACACACACATTATACAATATATGTTGGTGGACGCAACCCATGTGATGTTATTATTAATGTTGTGGATGAAATGAAGGAAGATGGCCGAACACTGAGCAAAAGAGGTAAGAGGAGGGATGGTAGAGTTTGAATGCAGAAGAGGGAATGGAATTAAATTATTTTTCTCAGAAAAATTGTGGAACGAAATGTAAGGATGTAATGAATATCTAAAATTCTACATACAAGAATTATGTGAATTTAAATAAAAGTGGCCCATCTGTTGGCCAGCATTTTCATTTGATCAACTGACTTTATCTCGTTGACATCATAATGCTGTAAGAATGTAATCCCCAGGATGACTCGAGTCTCGAACACATTCGTACAGCATTATGATGTCAACGAGATAAAGTCAGTTGATCAAATGAAAATGCTGGCCCACAGATGGCTCCAACATCATCTTGTTCCCTACTTGTATGTTTCATAACAATAAAAATGCTTTCAAATGAGCTGATGTAGGTAACAGCTCTTAGCTTGCCAATAAAGTTAGAAATCCTTAACCTGTAAATAGCTTGTCAATAAAGCTAGGGATCCTTAACCTAACCTTGTCAAACCCTGTGTAAAGGTGTTAAGTGTAATGTTTAGGTACTTGGTGAATTTTGAACAGAGTATGAAAATATTTGGAGAGACCATAATGGTAAACCTGGAAAGACTGTTGATGGGGACACAGTAGATAATATTAAAGTACCATGGATAAATGATAAGACTGACCTTTAACTGAATTATCTACAAGAAGTAATTTGACAATAGATAATAAATATTTTAAAAGAGGATAAATAAGTATACGAAGTAAAAATTTAGAGCAGTTTTGCTGGACTGTGTTGGTTGGTAAGAGATTAATGGGCAGTGTCGCCGTTGCACAAGTTTAAAAAAGGCGACTGCTGTCAGATCGTTATTTAGTAATGGTAACTACATTAAGAACGAGAGGCAGTGCGAGTACGAGGTGAATGAAGTGGAAGGATAAATGAGTGAGGTGAAAGTGAATAAACTGGAGAAGGAAACAGTAGACGATAAAAACACCAGTTAAAAGTTGAGCTGGAGAATGCAGATAATTCACAGAACGAGTAAGAGGTTCCAACCCATAGAAAACCAGTCCTGAAACCAATAAGCCGGTGAGTTGATGACTGTACCACGCCGCCCCAATGGGTAGTGTACTGACCTACCAGGTTGTCTGGACTATCATTCCATGGGTTTGATAGCCCAAGTCACTACAGACAGTGAGAAGACTGAGCACACACTGGGACACATGGGTCTAGTCAGTGTGAGGAACTCTTAGTGTGAAAATAAAGAGAAATTTCAAGTTTATATAACTATAAAGATTTTCTTAAGTTTCCCCCTTTAAAAATAATTTAGAGAGGAAGCTTGAGTTACTGCATAATATAAGAGGAAGGTTGGATGCTGGTGGAAAGAGGAATTATTGGATAAGTGAGAAAAAAGTTAGGATATGGAAGGGGTTTTATAGTGAAAAATGTGATAGGTTTATCTTACCTGCAAGACCTTGGAACTCGCTTGTCCAGCAATGTTAGTAGTCCCGGCTATTACAGCTCCCGTCCCCTTCAGATATATAGTGTTAGTTATGGTGGTAGTAGTGGGGGTGGTGTTAATAGTGGAGTGTGGATTATATTGTTTGATGTCAGTGGCGGTAACGGTGCTAGATGGTGGTGCTGGTGTCAGTGTTGTCAGTGGTGTGTCATGATAGCGTCATAGTGTCATGGTAGTGTCAGTGTAGTGTCAGTGGTGGTGTCAGTGGTGGTGTCAGTGGTAGTGTCAGTGATAGCGTCAGTAGTGTCAGTGGAGTATTGTCAGTGTAGTATCAGTGGTGTCAGTGTGGTGTCAGTGGTAGTGTCAGAGACGGTTGTCAGTTCAACACTGGTGTATTAAACTCTCCTGCGCACAGAAAAAAAAAAACATTTTTTCCAATAGATCATTTCTTCACGGCGAAATAATAAGAAACAAAAAAATTGAGTAAGAAATGTGAAACATTAATTTCCTCAGCAGGTAAACGAGGTCATGTCTCATTACGGCAGAGAAACTCGTATTAAGTTAGACTGGGAACTTTTACGATTGAATTAGATTATATCGGTTATTTACCTTAAGGAATTTGCTTGAGTTAGGTTAGATTAACTTAAGTTAGTCTAAGTTACGGTTTTCAAGGTCAAGAACTGACGTTAGAGCTTCATTAACGATTTCGTGTGCTTGTAAATACGAGATAATAATTACTGTTGTAATATAGCCAGAAACTGACCTTTTTATGATTATAATTACTGTTGTAATATAGCCAGAAACTGACCTTTTTATGATTATAATCACTGTTGTAATATAGCCAGAAACTGCCAGAAACTGACCTTTTTAAGAGACAAGAACAGATTAAGGGCCATTTTTTTTTTTTTTCAAATTGATACCTACTTCTTCCCATAATAGTACCAACTTTCTGAGATACATAAATGTTGAAAGTTTGAAGCCGATCAGAAAAGCCATTTACAGGTTAATTTATAGAAAGCAGTGTTCCTGTTTTTTAGATTTCTTTACATTTTAGGTAAGTGGACACGTAGAATAAAAATAGGGAAATTGGGACCTCCACGGAGGAAAACCAATGAAAAATTTAAGTTAAAAATTTGACTTTTCTAAAGTTTAAAGCCGAGCAAAAGAGGCATTCTCTAGTTATTGCAGGAAATCAATATAACTATTTGTATAATAAAATATGCAAAGTGGGACTTTTGAAGTTCAATAACAACGGAAAAATGTTTTTAGAGAACAACACATTGGTTGAAAAAGTTTGAAGCTTGCCAGACGAGGCATTCTCCAGTGATCACACAGATTCCAACTTAGGTGTCGGTGTTCATCACGATGACTCAGCAAACAAAACTTGAAGTTAGTCAGGAGAGGCACAATGTTGTTTCATAGAAATACCATTGCATTTTTAAAATAGACTGGAACTTATAAACATCAATGACAGTCCATAAAGACATCAGTATCGTAGGTTTCAAGCCGGTCAGAAGAGGCTTTCTCAAGGTATCACACCGAGACCAAAACTAAGAATGGCTTGAAACATGACTGAAGGGTAACTACCCCTGCCAGTAGTTGTATGACATGTTAACTAATATCTTACCAGCGTTGAAACCTAAGACTGATGCATTCACTGGCTTAACCCAGGGGTAACCCAGAGGTAACCCAGTGGTAACCCAGGGGTAATCCAGGGGTAACCAAGAGGTAACCCAGTGGTAATCCAGGGGCAACCCAGAGGTAACCCAGTGGTAACCCAGTGGTAATCCAGGGGTAACCAGGAGGTAACCCAGTGGTAACCCAGTGGTAATCCAGGGGTAACCAAGAGGTAACCCAGTGGTAATCCAGGGGTAACCAAGAGATAACCCAGTGGTAACCCAGTGGTAATCCAGGGGTAACCAAAAGGTAACCCAGTGGTAACCAGGTGGTAACCCAGAGGTAAACCCAGTGGTAACCCAGGAAAGCCATGTGACTTCCACTAGAGACTGATTTTTTTCCTCAAGAGTGTGTCCTACGACTCTCAACTAACACCCAGTGACCTATTTACTGCTAGGTGAATGATGTCACTAGGTGCTACACCTCAATCAGGTTCACCCCCATGTCTTCGTTCGCCAGAGAATCGAACCAGCGTCCTCTTAGCTTGAGAGTAAAGCGACATACAGAACAAGAGAGAAAAACGTTACAATACCATGTAGAAGAGAATCAAATCTTCTCACCGCTGCCATAGTGCCAATCATGGTAGGCGGTGCCATCACCATGTCCTTGGCTCCCTGCAACCATAACAGTAAACTGTTAATTTCCTTTTCAAACTGAATTTATTTACAAACATTATTATTAAATTATTAGTTTTATTATTATTATTATTATTCTTGCTGTTAATATTATTTATAATTTATTATAACTATTGTTATAACTTATTTCATTTGTATTTTTGAGAAGCTCTAAACCCGTCGTGGTCATGGAGCACCAGGGAGGAACTCGACGAAAAGGAGATCTATTTTCTATTTGTTCTATTTTCTATTTGCTTGGTGGAGACACCTGCTTGGTGGAGGCACCTGCTTGGTGGAGGCACCTGCTTGGTGGAGGCACCTGCTTGGTGGAGACACCTGCTTGGTGGAGGCACCTGCTTCGTGGAGACACCTGCTTGGTGGAGACACCTGCTTGGTGGAGACACCTACTTGGTGGAGGCACCTGCTTGGTGGAGGCACCTGCTTGGTGGAGGCACCTGCTTGGTGGAGACACCTGCTTGGTGGAGGCACCTGCTTGGTGGAGACACCTGCTTGGTGGAGACACCTGCTTGGTGGAGACACCTGCTTGGTGGAGACACCTGCTTGGTGGAGACACCTGCTTGGTGGAGACACCTGCTTGGTAGAGACACCTGCTTGGTGGAGACGCCTGCTTGGTGGAGACACCTTGGTGGAGACAGTCCTTCACCAGCAGATAATCATCTCTGACCATGTTCAAAAAAATCATAAAAAATTCCATGGTAGTGATGGTGACAGAGGAAACTCGTTAACCATGAAGAAGAATGTGACGTCTTTAGTTCTTGTACCTACACAGTCAATGACTGTACTCGGAATCATCACCCACCAGAGGATAATGGTATCTCCACATACCATATCCTCAGCACCTTCTTCCTTCATGATCCGCAGAAAAATGTATCTCAGGTATCCCAAGATACTGGCCTCATGTATCTCAGGCATCCTAAGACACTGGCCTCATGTATCTCAGGCATCCTAAGACACTGGCCTCATGTATCTCAGGTATCCCAAGACACTTGCCTCTTGTATCTCAGGTATCCTAAGATATTGGCTTCTTGTATCTCAGGTATCCTAAGATACTGGCTTCTTGTATCTCAGGTATCCCAAGACACTGGGTTCTTGTATCTCAGGTATCCCAAGACACTGGCTTCTTGTATCTCAGGTATCCTAAGATACTGGCTTCTTGTATCTCAGGTATCCCAAGATACTGGCCTCATGTATCTCAGGTATCCTAAGACACTGGTCTCTTGTATCTCAGGTATCCTAAGATACTGGCTTCTTGTATCTCAGGTATCCCAAGATACTGGCCTCATGTATCTCAGGTATCCTAAGACACTGGTCTCTTGTATCTCAGGTATCCTAAGATACTGGTCTCTTGTATCTCAGGTATCCCAAGACACTGGCTTCTTGTATCTCAGGTATCCCAAGACACTGGCTTCTTGTATCTCAGGTATCCCAAGACACTGGCCTCTTGAATCTCTCAGTGAGCTGGGAAAAGTTTCTCATAATCCCGCCAGACGATGGTTGAATATGAGATATGTCTACACAAGTGTTGCTGAATAATACCTCTGTTTCATATACATTCATGTGTCCCGTGGCTCGACTGGCAGAGCACTCGCCTCACACACTGAGTGTCCGTGGCATCATCCCCGTCACGGGTGGATACATTGAGCATGTTTCCTTACACCTACTGTCCCTGTTTCCCTTGCAGTAAGTAGGTACCTGGGTGTTAGTCGACTGATGTGGGTCGCATCCTGAGGGACAAGATTTAAGGACAACAATGGAAATAAGACAGTGCTCGATGACGCACTGGTTTTCTTGGTTATCCTGGGTGACTAACCCTCCAGGTGAAAATCAGAGGCTGATTGATCACTGAGTGAGGCGGCTGACTTACACCAGCTTCAAGAAAGACTGTTCCTTCCTGAGGAACAAATCATCACTTCACAGAGTATAAAACGCGAGTTGTGTTTCTCAGTGTATGCTCACTCACAAACCTCAGTTGTTAACCCTGTTTTTGACTGAGTGAGGTATACATACCTGTTGGTCAAAAACAGGGTAATTTGTGTTGATAATGGTGCTAGTAGTCAATAGGCCTTAAATCCTAGCCTTTTGAGTATAAATGGCAAGAGATTAAGACAAATATTTTAATAATTTTTATTAATCCAGGGTAACCCAGGAAAGCCAAGCAGTGTGGCTTGTTTCCACTAGGGTCAGATCTTTCCTAGAATGTGACCCACAACGATCTACTAATACCTAGTTACCTATTAACTGCTAGTTCAACAGTGACAGTTGGTATAAGGAAATTTACTCTTACGTCTCAACTCGGCCGAGTATCAAATCACGGTCCTTTAGGTTGAGAGTAAAATGTTTTACCACAACAAGACAAGAAGAAAATATAACTTGTAAAAGAGAAAAGCAAATCTGAGTGTTCTCACCCCTGCCATAGTGGCAGCCATGGTAGCCGGTGCCATCACCATGTCCTTGCCTCCCTGCAACCATAAGAAAAATCTGTTAAGTTTTAATTTACATCGCATTTAATCTATTATAAACTCAAGATAAACCGTAATGAATGACTGTCTATGAATAAACGGAAGAATGGGCGGGAACTCGAACCGAGGTCCTGCCGTGCTGCAGACCCATCGCTTTACCACTGAGTTATAACGCTTCCAAATGAAAGATTTTTCAGACAGCACTTCTGTGACATGTCTGTATCAGCGGCACTAACTGTGACTCTGGTGTCTCTTTCAGGATGTATCCTCTCATCCCAGTATCTAGCCTAATGTCTTTCAGGATGCATCCTCTCATCCCAGTATCTAGCCTAATGTCTTTCAGGATGCATCCTCTCATCCCAGTATCTAGCCTAATGTCTTTCAGGATGCATCCTCTCATCCCAGTATCTAGCTTAATGTCTTTCAGGATGCATCCTCTCATCCCAGTATCCAGCCTAGTGTCTTTCAGGATGCATCCTCTCCTAGTATCAAGCCTAGTGTCTCCTAGGATGCATCCTCTCGTCCCAGTATCCAGCCTAGTGTCTCCTAGGATGCATCCTCTCCTCCCAGAATCCAGCCTAGTTTACCTGGAGTTTACCTGGAGAGAGTTCCGGGGGTCAACGCCCCCGCGGCCCGGTCTGTGACCAGGCCTCGTGTCTCAGGATGCATCCTCTCCTCCCAGTATCCAGCCTAGTGTCTCCTAGGATGCATCCTCTCGTCCCAGTACCCAGCCAAATGTCTCCTAGGATGCATCATCTCCCAGTATCCAGTGTCTCTCAGGAAGCACCCTCTCCTCCCAGTATCCGGCCTAGTGTGTCTCGGGATGCATCCTCTCCTCCCAGTATCCAGCCTAGTGTCTTACAGGATGTATCCTCTCGTCCTAGTATCAAACCTAGTGTCTTTCAGGATGCATCCTCTCGTCCCAGTATCAAGCCTAGTGTCTTTCAGGGTGCATCCTTTCGTCCCAGTATCAAGCCTAGCGTCTTTCAGGATGCATCCTCTCGTCCCAGTATCCAACCTAGTGTCTTTCAGGATGCATCTTCTCCTCCCAGTATCTTGCCTAGTGTCTCCTAGGATGCATCCTCTCATCCCAGTATCAAGCCTAGTGTCTCCTAGGATGCATCCTCTCCTCCCAGTATCCAGCCTAGTGTCTCCTAGGAAGCATCCTCTCGTCCCAGTATCTAGCCTAGTGTCTCCTAGGATGTATCTTCTCCCAGTATCCAGCCTAGTGTCTCAGGATGCATCCTCTCTTCCCAGTGTCCAGCCTAGTGTCTCCTATGATGCATCCTCTCTTCCCAGTATCCAGCCTAGTGTCTCCTAGGATGCATCCTCTCCTCCCAGTATCCAGCCTAGTGTTTCTCAGGAAGCATCCTCTCGTCTCAGTATCCAGACTAGTGTCTCCACTCAGAGCCATCTGGTGCACACTCCTCTTACCTTGACACAGAGAAAGATGAATTTGATCATTACTTCCTTCAGTTGGATCAGTCATCAGCACTAACACTGGCAACCTTGTTTTCCAATGAATTCACGAAACATTCTGGGGGATCACTTTTCCAGTATCTTCTTTTTTCTCCTAACTTCTCACTTCTAGCCCTTCCAGATATGTGCACCTGGGTAAACCCTAGGACAGGCAGCCCTGCTATATTAGACACATGTTGAGGATCTGATTGTTTCACATCGATATCGTTACTGGGCAAACCTCCATGCACTTGATATCACTGCTGTCTTTACCCCTCCATGCCCCAGATGAAAATGAAAACATCTGCTGGGACTTTCTCTTATTATTGGCTACCTCCCTTGTGAGGGAAAAGTTCAACAGATAGGAGTAGCGAGCGAGTATATGGTGACAATAGTTTGATTGCCAGTCTGCTTGTTAAGGTAGGGTCAGTGTCTAGCTCCCGCTATACCCCCCCCCCTTTTCTCCACCCGGAAAGGTAACGTGTGAGGCTCCAACCAAATGGATAATCACTTGACAAACAGCTCCCAGCACAACTGTAAGCAAAAACCTCTGCTCCAATTTTAGTGGATATATTGGTTAAAAGCTTCACTTTTAACCAATTCTAAGACTTAGTTCATTCTGCCTTGATTTCCATGTTTTGCTTTTAAATCCTCACCATTCTTTTAAATGCTTTACTTATCATGGAGAGTGATTTCTCAAGCAGTGGTTAACTTTTGTCTCTAGCTTGGGTCATCTGGCAACCACAGAGACAGTGTTGAAGGAGACGAACTTCACATGAGTTCTGGGACGTCACTTTTTATCTACATACCTGAGTGTAGCCAACCCCAGGCAACTACCCCTCATCTTTGCAGTGGTGAAGGACCTGCGTTCCTATCATCTTGACGGATTATTCAAGGCTAGAGACACTGTGACGAACTAGTCGTTGGGTTGTCACTCAACAGCTGTGACCTTCCCCCCCCACATCATCAGCAACGGCTACAATTTCTACAATGCGGGTGTCAACATCACCAGACACCCCAGTCTAACTGTACATACTAGCGTTGAATTCAAATATCATTTTTATATTTCATTTTTCATTTCTCTTCCAAGTAGGATAAAAGTTCATATTTAAATATTTTATATTTTCAATTATAAAAATAAAGTGTTTATATTTGTATGTTATTATTCTTTTTCTATTCTTTAATTTTCCCTGAGGAGGAGCGAGCCTTGATAATACCAACTTAAGATCTTACAGGGCTGAGCAAGCCGTCACATCCCTGAATGCTTGGTGAAAACCTTCACTCATTATTAACTTAATCCAGCAGTTTCGTGCCTAGGCTCCTGATTCAGTCCACAGTGCCCTTCTGTCACATCAACCACAAAATATTCTTGATTCTGTACTAGAGATCTGTAACTACAGCTGGGCGCCAGGTACATTTCCTGCCCAGTGGAAACATGCAGGACTGCCAGTAGGCCAGCTGTAGTGTTCCTCCTTTATGTTCTTGTGAATGAGAGGGGTTGGATTTGGGTGGGACATACACTTCAGTTGCCTGGAGAGAGTTCCGGGGGTCAACGCCCCTGCAGCCCGGTCTGTGACCAGGCCTCATGGTGAATCAGAGCCTGATCAACCAGGCTGTTACTGCTGGCTGCACGCAATCCAACGTACGAGCCACAGCCCGGCTGGTCAGGTACCGACTTTAGGTGCTTGTCCAGTGCCTACTTGAAGACAGCCAGGGGTCTATTGGTAAGCCCTCTTATGTATGCTGGGAGGCAGTTGAACAGTCTCAGGCCCCTGACACTTATTGTATTGTCTTTTAACGTGCTAGTGACACCCCTGCTTTTCATTGGAGGGATGTTGCATTGTCTGCCGAGTCTTTTACTTTCGTTGTGAGTGATTTTCGTGTGCAAGTTCGGTACTAGTCCTAGGATTTTCCAGGTGTATATAATCGTGTATCTCTCCCGCCTGCATTCCAGGGAGTACAGGTTCAGGAACTTTAAGCACTCCCAGTAACTGAGGTGTTTTATCTCCGTTATGCCCTCCGTGATTTTCTCTGTACATTTTTCTAGGTGCTGTTAGCGTGCAGCAATATTCCAACCTAGATAGAACAAGCGACCTGAAGAGTGTCATCATGGGCTTGGCATCCCTAGTTTTGAAGGTTATCATTATCCATCCTGTCATTTTTCTAGCAAATGCGATTGATACAATGTTGTGGTCCTTGAAGGTGAGATCCTCCGACATGATCACTCCCAGGTCTTTGACGTTGGTTTTTCGCTCTATTTTGTGGCCAGAATTTGTTTTGTACTTTGAAGTTTTAATTTCCTCATGTTTACCGTATCGGAGTATTTTAAATTTCTAATCATTGAACTTCATATTGTTTTCTGCAGCCAATTGATAGATTTGGTTGATGTCCGCCTGGAGCCTTGCAGTGTCTGCAATGGAAGACACTGTCATGCAGATTCGGGTGTCATCTGCAAAGGAAGACACGGTGCTGTGGCTGACATCCTTATCTATGTCAGATATGAGGATGAGGAACAAGATGGGAGCGAGTACTGTACCTTGTGGAACAGAGCTTTTCACCGTATCAGCACGCATTTTGTGCGTTATTATGCCATGGTCACACTTGTCGAAGGTTTTTGCAAAATCTGTATACATTACATTTTTGTCGTAGTGATCCAGTAGTTGGGAGAGACATCAGCGACCTGCTCTAAACCCATGTTGCCCTGGGTTGTGTAATGGATGGGTATCTAGATGGGTGACGATCTTGCTTCTTAGGACCCTTTTAAAGATTTTTATGATACGGGATGTTAGTGCTATCGGTCTGTAGTTCTTTGCTATTGCTTTACTGCCCCCTTTGTGGAGTGGGGCTATGTCTGTTGCTTTTAGTAATTGTGGGACGACCCCCATTGTCCATGCCCCTCTCCATAGGAGGGTAAAAACACGTGATAGGGGCTTCTTGCAGTTCTTGATGAACACGGAGTTCCATGAGTCTGGCCCTGGGGCAGAGTGCATGGGCATGTCATTTATCGCCTTTTCGAAGTCATTTGGCGTCAGGATAACATCAGATAGGCTTGTGTTTACCAAATTCTGTGGCTCTCTCATAAAAAAATAATTTAGATCTTCGACTCTCAGTCTGGTTAGTGGCTTGCTAAAAACTGAGTCATATTGGGACTTGAGTAGTTCACTCATTTCCTTGCTGTCATCTGTGTAGGACCCATCTTGTTTAAGTAGGGGCCCAATACTGGATGTTGTTCTCGACTTTGATTTGGCATAAGAAAAGAAATGCTTTGGGTTTCTTTCGATTTCATTTATGGCTTTTAGTTCTTCCCGCGATTCCTGACTCCTATAAGATTCCTTTAGCTTAAGTTCGATGTTTGCTATTTCTCTGACCAGTGTCTACCTTCGCATTGCAGATATATTGGCCTCTTTTAGCCGCTCTGTTATTCTTTTCCGTCGCGTGTAAAGGGAGCGCCTGTCTCTTTTTATTTTACATCTACTCCTCCTTTTTCTTAAAGGAATAAGCCTTGAGCATACATCGAGTGCCACCGAGTTAATCTGTTCTAGGCATAAGTTGGGGTCTGTGTTGCTTAGTCTATCTTCCCAGCTTATATCGTATAGGACTTAGTTTACTTGGTCCCACTCTATGTTCTTGTTATTGAAGTTAAATTTGGTGAAGGCTCCCTCGTGACTAATCTCATTATGTCGGTCTGGGGCTCCGCGCATACATGTCTGAACCTCGGTTATGTTGTGATCTGAGTATATTGTTTTTGATATGGTGACATTTCGTATCAGATCATTTTAGTGAAGATGAGGTCTAGTGTATTCTCCAGTCTAGTAGGCTCTGTTATTTGCTGGTTTAAGTTGAATTTTGTGCAGAAATTTAAAAGCTCGTATGTGTTCTCGTGAGAGCTGCCTCCTGGTGTTATCACTGCAACAACATTATTTGCTATATTCCTCCATTTTAGGTGCCTCAAGTTGAAATCCCCCAGGAGCAAGATGTTGGGGGCAGGAGCTGGAAGATTCTCCAGACAGTGGTCAATTTTTAGCAGGTGTTCCTGAATTGCTGAGACGTTGCATCCGGAGGCTTGTAGACTACCACAATGACTAGATTTTGGTTCTCGATCTTTACTGCTAAAACTTCCACTACATCATTTGAGGCATTAAGCAGTTCTGTGCAAACAAGTGACTGCGATATACAGGCCAACCCCTCCCCCACTTTTTGCCTGTTCACTCTGTCACATATGTATAGGTTGTAACCTGGGATCCATATTTCGTTGTCCAAGTGATCCTTTATGTGGGGTCTCTGTGAAAGCCCCGAACATTGCATTTGTCTCTGCAAGCAGTCCACAGATGAAAGGTATTTTGTTGTTCATTGCTGGCTTTAGACCCTGTATATTTGCAAAGCAGAATGTCATCGGACTGGTGGTATTGGTGGTACTGGGGGAACTTTTTTTTACGGCATTAGTATCTGTATCTGTTGGTTTGGAGTGGAGGCCATCGACTGTGGTTCCACTCCAGAAATGACTGGATTTGGTGTACGATTTCTGCCATTTCCTGCCAGTTTTTTTTTCTTCCTGGCACTGAAAAACCTCTCCCTCTTGAGTGGCTGTGGCTACCCAGGTTTTCCCATGGCCTGAATGTTTTGTATTTTTTTCCCCTTTAGATGGTGTGCCTGGCAATTTAAGTTATAGCACAGTCTTTCCTGTACTGAAGAGGGACACATTTCAGGGTGAAAAAGCTTACAGGAAGGGAGTTTGCATTTTCCTGTTGTCATATGGGCACGGCATTTTCTAGGGTGGTCAAAGTTGCACGCCCCATCTGTTTTTCCAGATTTCCCATGTCTGCAGATACCAAGTGCATAGTATGTGCACAGGCTTGGTTTCCGTTTGCCTTGGGTTTTTGTGACTGTATTCCCTGTTGGTGCATGTTTACCTGTCTTATTCCTATCCTCACTAGTACTAACAATGGAGCTCTAACCATAGCTAGTGGAGTCCCCATGTTTCCTATCTCCTGTGGTATTAGTAGTTTATAATATTAGTTTTATCTTGTCCTTGACTACACTTGTTTCCCCACTACAGCTCCTGTCTCCCTCGAGGCCATTTATATGCATTCCCTCATGCGTACATTTACTGTCTCCCAGGACAGCACCTCCAGCTTCACCATTACTGTCTACCAGGACAGCGCTTCCAGCCCCACAGTTACTGTCACCCAGGACAGCACCTCCAGCCTTACAGTTTCTGGGTACATGGCCAGCACCAAGGGTGATACCATCCAGCCCAGATTTTTTATTTTCCCATGCTAGGTGTCCTAGTGGCCCCCTCTGTAATTAGTATTTTATAACATGTAAACCACACAATATCCAAATCCTGTAAACCCCACATTGTAACCTTTATAGAGAATAAACTTGATTTGATTTGATTTGATCTGTTATAGAATGCTTCCAGGTTTTCTATGAAGGCTGCTTTGATGTTATCCTCTTTTAATACCAATGTGATTTTAGTCCACAGATTGATCTCATTTGGGCATACCCAAAAACACTTCCCTGATTTAATACTTCTTGTAGATAGTTCTTGGATATCTGCACAAGGGGCGTGACACTAGAGTTATCAAAACTTATTCCTTTTGTAGCACTGGAAATGGGTTAAGCAAATATTTTTGTTTGTGAGTTTGGGCTAATTGACCCGCTGCAGTGTTCCTCCTTTCTTATGTTCTTATGTTTTCCAAAAACCATGCAAGGATCCTCCGTCCCGTCACTTTACCGCTCCATTTAGAGGGTAGAATAGAATTCCCTTCTTCCCGAGTCTCATTTTGGCTTCCGATAAAGTCGCAGCCTTAAATATGCTCTTCTTTCATGTCCAGAGTTCCACTGGAGGGTCATCATATGACTAAGACCCGCGTCAGGAAACACTTGTCCTGTTTCCTGACGAACCTTACCTAACCTAACCTTCTCTGATGACCAACAAGTGTACAGTGCATTTGCTGTACACAAAATTCTCCTGGTTTCATTCATTAAAACCTTTTAAAGAATTAGACACAAGTGTAATATCTGGGTTTCCTTATTTGTAGACGTTTTGCCAACCAGTGGCTTTATCAGTACAATACAGAATGTGAAGAATGTAGAATTAATATAAAAGATGAGGTAATCAGTCCCTCAGTCATGGAGGTTCTGAAGATTCTGAAGCACAGGCATACGAAGGTTTCCCTCCCTGTGTTAAGTACCTTGACTCACCTGCATGGCCATATTGCCTACGTTGCTCGCCCGGAGACTGCTGTGCTAGCCCCGGGGACTGCAGTGTTAACCCCGGGGACCTCCGTGTCAACCCTCTGAGCCCCAGAGACAATTGTGTCAGCCCCGGAGACTTCTGCAGTCCCGGAGACCACTGTATCAGCCCCCTGAGCCTCGGAGACTGCTGACTTGTTCATCTATGCAAGAGTCACATTTACATAAATTTCAACACTGCACTAGCCAAAAAGTCGAACCCATGCTGTTTTGGCCCGCCTAATGGTGAGAGAAAACGCGTCATGCGTTTTCTCTCACCATGAGGCGTGCCAAAGCAGCACGAGTTCGACTCCTGGGCTAGTGCAGTGTTGTTATTGATCAGTACCACTTGTTCCGTGGGTACAATAATATTACATAAATTTATTTATAGCATACTGTGTGTACAATACAATACTGACAAGATGAAGAATTGGACACATGTGCAACATCTGTGCGTCTTTACTGTGGACGTTTCGCCATCCAGTGGCTTTATCAATACAAATTCAAGGACACAGTGGGTATGACCTACTCCCACTGGGGGATCCCGCCTGTCAGTGACAGTGTCTTCGTCTGCTACACATCCTTCACTGTCGCCAGTATATAAGTAATAATCTTCCTGCCTGTGCTGCAGATTCTTCATGACTACCTGGAGGTTACCTGGAGGTTATTCCGGGGATCAACGCCCTCGCGGCCCGGTCCATGACCAGGCCTCCCGATGGATCAGGGCCTGATCAACTAGGCTGTTACTGCTGGCCGCACGCAGTCCAACGTACGAGCCACAGCCCGGCTGATCCGGCACTGACTTTAGGTATCTGTCCAGCTCTCTCTTGAACTACGGTGCTCTTCACCAGCTCCGAGGCTGAGAGACTGATTACTTTGTCTCTGGTATATGGTTATACAGTCTTCCCACTGTCTCCTTGAATTTGTATTGGTAAAGACACTGATTGGTGAAACGTCTACAAATAAAGATACCCAGGTGTTTTATACGTGTCTAATTCTCCATCTTGTATACGCCTTTATACTATAAACATATTTACTTTTAATATTAATTATTATTCATAATTTTCTACTATTATTATTGTTGTTATTTATAGATGTGAGTGTAAAAGAGGTGCGAAACTAAAAGATAATGAATATGATACACAGTGGGTATTGTCACAGTTGCTTTTTGCTGATGGCACTGTGCTTTTGGAACGAATTTGAGAGGTTATGTAAAAAAAAAAAAAAAAAAATAAAAGTAAATGTAAGAAAGGGCAAGGTGATAAGAGTAACAAAAAAAAAATCTAGGCAATGAAGTATGGAGGAAATAAATGTGTTTAGATATTTGGGAGTGAACTTGTCAGCAGATGGCTCTATGAGGAAAAAAGTTGGTGATGTATTGAGGCATCTGTGAAGACAAAGAGAGTTATCAGTGGAGGCAAAAAGGGAAACGAATGAGAGTATAGTGGTACCAACACTCTTACATGGGTGTGAAGCATGGGTTGTGAATGTTGCAGCAAGGAGAAGCCTGAAAGCAATGGAGGTGTGTCTAAGGGCAGTATCTGGTGAAAAATAATATGTTGTGCAAGAAAGGTATACAATACCGACAGGATGAAAATTAAGGCACATGTGCAACATCTGGTTATCTGTATTGTAGACGTTTCGCCATCCAGTGGCTTTATCAATATAGATTCTTGGACATAATTAGAAGACAGAACTATATACAAAAGATGAGGTAATCAGTCCCTCAGCCTTGGCGTTGGTGTTGAGAGCATCGTGGTGGTAGAGATTCTGGAGCAAAGGCAAGGAGACTGGCGTTTATATAGGCGTCAGTGGATAGGGACGTGTAGCAGACGAGGGCATAGTCACTGGTAGGCGGGATTCCCCAGTGGAAGTAGGTCCTACCCAAAGGGATGGGTTAGAGGATATCTACAAGACCTTCACGGCTGCTACAACTAACCCATCCCTTTGGGTAGGACCTACTTCCACTGGGGAATCCTGCCTACCAGTGACTATGCCCTCGTCTGCTACACGTCCCTATCCACTGACGCCTATATAAACACCAGTCTCCTTGCCTTTGCTCCAGAATCTCTACCACCACGGTGCTCTCAACACCAACTCCAAGGCTGAGGGACTGATTACCTCATCTTTTGTATATAGTTCTACTGTCTTCTAATTATGTCCTAGAATCTATATTGATAAAGCCACTGGATGGCGAAACGTCTACAGTACAGATAACCAGATGTTGCACATATGTCTTTACGAAAAATAATATGCAGGGAATTCGTAATTTGGAGATTAGAAGGAGGTGCAGGGTTACTAAGATTATTATCCAGAGGGCTGAAGAGGGATTGTTGAGGTGGTTCGGACATTTAGAGAGAATGGAAGAAAATAGGATGACTTCTAGTAGGTGTGTACAAGAGTTTTAGATAGGAGTGTGTAGAGGCAAGTGATTTTTATTACTTCGTGTGCTGTTGGAGTGTGAGCAGAGTAATATTTATAAAGAGATTCAGGGAAGCTAGTTAGCCGGATTTGAGTCCTGCAGGTAATAAGTACAGTGCCTGCACTATGTAGGAGGGGTGGAGATATTTACAGTTTTGAACTATAGTATCGGCACGCCTCTGGCAAGACAGTGATGGAGTGAATGATAGTGAATGTGGTTCTTCTTTTTTTTTGCGTCACTCTGCCTCAGTGGAAGACGGCCGCTAATATATAATAATATATATATATATATATATATATATATTTTATATATATATATATATATATATATATATATTTTTACATATATATATATATTATATATATATATTATATATATATTATATATATATATATATATATATTACAAAATATATATATTATATTATATATATTACATATATATATATATATAATATATATATATTTTAATATTATATATATTATATATTTTTATATATATATATATTGCGGCCGTCTTCCACTATATATATTATATATATATATATATATATATATATATATATATATTATAATTTTTATATATATAAAATTATTATATATATATATATATATTTATATAATGTGTGTGTTTTGTGAGCGATAAAAAGATGCAAATTAACCACAGGGAGTTTTGCTGAATGGTAGTTTTAGGCCTTTCGTTTTTGCAGTCAATAAATCATCATAAGTTGCAGAAATGAGTAGGAAGAACGTTTCTGTCTGGATTTCCTACTCATTTCGCAGCATTACAAGCTCATGATGTGTAGATTGCAATACGGGAGTCCTGAGCTATCATTCAACTCCCCTTGTAGTTCATATTATATATATATATATATATATATATTTATATATTATATATATATATTATAATATATATTTTATATATATATATAATATAGTATGTATATGTATGTATATTAACATACAAGTGTGAAAATGAAGGATGACCTTGGTTGAAGATTTTGAGGAGAATAATCCCATCTTGCTGACACTACAACGGCTGACACCAGCACTCTTGATGCCTCTTCTGATGTTTGCTTGCTGACCTCTTTTTTTTTTGTGTTTTGCTGAGGTCTCTTCTGTTGCTGTCCTGCTGACGTCTGTTCTATGATGTCTCTACTGACGCCTCTTCTGTTATTTATCCTCTGTTCTTCTGATCTGTTCTCCCACTTATCCTTCCACTGTTTGTTGTGCTGACGTAGTACACCACCGGCTACAACAATAAAAGAAACCACAACCAGTTAGTATAAGGAGGCAGACGAATTCATAGTAGTGGTTTGATTATATAATATATATAAAATAATTTTATATTATATATATTATATATATATATTATATATATATAATATATATATATATATAATTATATGTGTGTGTGTGTGGTGTTTTGTGGGGTATGTTCATATTACCGATTACTTTGGTAAATAAGACACATGTGCAACAGTTAGTATCTTTATTCGAAACGTTTCGCTACACGTAGACTTCTTTCAGTCGTGTACAGAAAAGTTGGTAGAAGCAGTTAGAGATGGTGAAGGATGATGGACTGATTACATCGTCTTCACATCTCTACTGCTTCTATCAACCTTTCTGTAGACGGCTGAAGAAGTCTACTGTGTAGGCGAAACGTTTCGGAATAAAGATACTTAACTGTTGCACATGTGTCTTACTTACCAGAGTGCATGTTGATTGTAACATAGTGTATGTTGATTGTAACAGAGTGCATGTTGATTGTAACATAGTGTATGTTGATTTTAACAGAGTGCATGTTGATTGTAACATAGTCTAGTTGATTTTTAACAGAGTGCATGTTGATTGTAACATAGTGTATGTTGATTGTAACATAGTGCATGTCGAATTGTAACATTTGTGTATGTTGATTGAACAGGGGTGCATGTTTCGATTGTAACATAGTGTTTATGTTGATTGTATCAGAGTGCATGTCGATTGTAACAGAGTTTCAATGTTGATTGTATCAGAAGTGCAATGTTGATTATAACAAAGTGCATGTTGATTGTATCAGAGTGATGTTGATTATAACAAAGTGGGATGTTGATTGTAACAGAGTGCATGTTGATTGTAACAGAGTGCATGTTGATTGTATCAGAGTGCATGTTGATTGTAACAGAGTGCATGTTGATTGTATCAGAGTGCATGTTGATTGTAACAGAGTGCATGTTGATTGTATCAGAGTGCATGTTGATTGTAACAAAGTGCATGTTGATTGTATCAGAGTGTATGTTGGGGTTATAACAAAGTGCATGTTGATTATAACAAAGTGCATGTTGATTATAACAAAGTGTATGTTGATTGTATCAGAGTGCATGTTGATTATAACAAAGTGCATGTTGATTGTATCAGAGTGTATGTTGATTATAACAAAGTGCATGTTGATTATAACAAAGTGCATGTTGATTGTATCAGAGTGTATGTTGATTATAACAAAGTGCATGTTGATTATACAAAGTGCATGTTGATTGTATCAGAGTGTATGTTTTATTATAACAAAGTGCATGTTGATTATAACAAAGTGCATGTTGATTGTATCAGAGTGTATGTTGATTATAACAAAGTGCATGTTGATTATAACAAAGTGCATGTTGATTGTAACAGAGTGCATGTTGATTGTAACAGAGTGCATGTTGATTGTAACAGAGTGCATGTTGATTGTAGGCTGATAACATACAGAGAAAGATGTTGAAGACTGACTGAGAAAAAGCATTTACTGGTGCCATGTTTCGCTCTGTGCAGAGGTTTTTATCGGGACTATTTTACGTTCATTGTAGAGCCTTGATCATAGGGCTGCCCCTGCCATAGGGCTGCCCCCGCCATAGGGCTGCCCCCGCCATAGGGCTGCCCCCGCCATAGGGCTGCCCCCGCCATAGGGCTGCCCCCGCCATAGGGCTGCCCCCACCATAGGGCTGCCCCCGCCATAAGGCTGCCCCCGCCATAGGGCTGCCCCCGCCATAGGGCTGCCCCCGCCATAGGGCTGTGAACAGTACATCACTTGTACCAACATTGACACTCCTTCAGGAGCCACTGAAAATCTTCAGACTGTAAATGTCTGACGTCATGTGACATCACTTGCGGTCCTTCCATAGTGGTAGGCAATTTGTGAATACCTCATCAGATCGGCATCAAACCTTCACTGTTGGTGGAGGAGAAGAACGTTTCGCCCGTGCAGTGGGGTTTATTTAAGGTGTAAGGCTGATCATTCAATAGCGATATCAGTTATGTATTGAAGATGTTTTATACTTGGAGTATATATGGAGTAGGTTTCGGGAGTCAACGCTCTCGCGCCCCAGTCCATGACCAGACCTCGCGGTGGATCAGGACCTGATCAACCAGGCTGTTACTGCTGGCCTCAGGCAAACCGACATGAGGCCAGGTGGGAAAGAGTTTCGTACCGTTTTCGAGGCTCTCATGTTACTGCGCATAAATCACCTGAAGCCCAGTACTTAGAGAAGGCCCTATGACGACGTTTCAGTCCTTCCTGAACCATTTTTAAGTCACAATCGTTCAAAACGGACAGAAACATCACCATGAGGTTTCTCTCCCAAGTGCGAAGTTTTTGGTGAGTTGTTTCAGCCACGGTTTTGTGATCTTAATCTTGATAACACGGAAGTGAAATCCGGGAATATTGTGATCATTGTTCACCTGAACACGTCAGTGGTCACATCAACTTTCCCTCACTCTCTCAACGATCATCGGATGAAACGTTTTAAAGTTATGACCGAGAGTTCGGACACCCCCCCTCCCCCCTCCCTCGACGGAGGTTCCTTGACGCTGGTGAGGGGCTCTCGATCTAGGGAATTGGATCTGTGCTCCAGTTCCCACAGGCGCTGTATAATCCTTACGGGTTTAGCTCTCCCCATAATAATAATAATAATTGAAGGATGATGAGGCATGCGGATTATTATTAAAATCAAAGAAAGCGCTAAACCGACAAGGGTCATACAGCTCCGGGATACGGAACAACGTCCATTGCTCATTATAATTTTTTTTGAGACAGTGCAGGTTTCTGTGACGATAAACAAAGGCTTGATGACTGCCATAAGAAAGCTATTGAGAGGCTGTTGAACAGCCTTCCAGCATACATAAGGGGGATTACCAATAGACTCCTGGTTGTTTTCAGGAAGGCACTGGACAGGCACCTAAAGTCAGTACCTGACCAGCCGGGTTGTGGTGGGGTTGTGGTTAGTACGTTGGGTTGCGTGCAGCCAATGTCGCGTATGATTTCGAAACGTGGATTGGGTAAGAACACTCACATAGGCTGTTAAGTATGTATATTGGATGGAATATATAGAGAGCACAAAAGCCTGACATGCTATCTCTCCTAACGCCTCTACTTGAACTGAGTCACTAGTGGTGCCTAGGGGTGATCGGCATACAAATCATGCTAGGTCAGCTGTAACAGTGAATAACAGAGATTCACACAGACGGTTGGTATGAGTCATTACTACTGACACTACTGGTAACTGGTTACTGGTAAACTGACGCTGGTAACTGGTTACTGGTAACTGATACTACTGAGAACTCGGCGACGCTAATGTATAGTGTCCCGACATACAGCTAATACAACTAGAGATGACAGGTGTACGGTTGGGGCTGATGCTATACAATGTCAAAGTACACAACAATTGAACATTAGAACATACATAAGGAGAATATCGGAATGGAAGCTAACATACTGTAATGCATTACAATTCATAGAATGAGGCTCAATGACAAGAATATACAATAAAAGTGATAAAATAAAAAAAAATTGATCAATCGATCAGTATTCATGTGATCTACGGATTCTGAGGAAGAAATATATACAAAGAAGTGTTTAACAGAAAAGGCAGACTTGGTGCACTCAAATCTACACTGTTAAATCTCAGAATTCGAAGAGAACATGAACACACACACACACACACACACACACACAAAAATCTTGAATATTAATAAATTCATATTGTAGCAGACAATAGAAATACATTTTAAACTATATTCATCTATACAGGTTATTTACATTTAACCCAAACTCAGTGAGGGTGATATTTACATATGCAGAATGGGTATCATGTCTGAGAGGATCAAACTCTGTTGCAATGGCTAACTCATGCCGTGGTTGAGGCGGTTCTGAATCGGTAGTTACAAATGATACTTGAGGATTTCTCAGTACCTGTCGTGTACGTAGGGAATAACGACATTCAGTTTGATCGTCTGACTGAGTGTTAGAGGTAGGGGGTACAGAGACAGGAGGATTGTCAGAGTCTGTCACATGAGTCTGGGTTGGAACATCATTATCATCACATACTAACTTCATATGATCTCAATGTGATTCTTTATAATGACCTGTACTAATTTCTCTAACTTTATACTTATTGCCATTAATATGTTCAACTTGATAAGGACCAACAAACTTCCGATCGAGCTTAGGCATTGCAGATGTTTTGTTAAAATTAGTCAGCATAACTCTGGAACCTACTGTAATTTTGGACGGCTTTGCTCTAGTGTTAGCGGCTCTTGTAAATTCTGCTGTTGATTTATGAAGTATTTCACGGATTCTTCTAAAAGCACTTTGAGCTAAGCTGGTACGAGTTGCTATGAAATCATCAGGGTTGTAATTTGGTTTTGGGCTAGAATATAACAACTCATAAGGTAAATGCTTATCTACACCGTACAAAGCATAATGTGGAGTGTCACCTATAGAAACATTGTAAGCAGAATTTATGGCACACTGAACATCAGGTATAACTTCATCCCAAGTTTCACTGTTGGGATTGATAGTGGCTCTCAAGACATCTAATACTTATTGGTTCGTTCCACTAACCCATTACTGGCAGGATGGTGAGGAACAGTGGTGGATTTAGAGATATTGTACAATTTACACAGATTTTCAAGAATCTCATTACAGAATTCACCTCCATTATCTGTTACCAGGGACTTAGGGGTGGTATGCCTGCAGATAATGCGTTCTTTAAACGCTTTAGCTACTGTCTCGGCAGTCTTATCTGCAATAGGAACTAACTCACAATATCTGGTGAAATGATCTATCATAACACACACATGTTTGTTGCCCTGGAAGGAACATTGGAAATTAGTTAACAGATCTAGCGCAACTCTTTCCCATGGTTCGCTAGTAGTTGGGTACATCTGGATTGGATTAGGCCCATTAACATTGCCTCTGTGTTGCATGCAGACACTACATTTCTTGACATACTCAGAATTATCAGCTGCCATACGAGACCAAAAGTATTTCAATTTGGCTTGTTTTACTGAACGATCCATACCAGGGTGTGCAACACCTGGTGCATCGTGAACTAGCTGTAAGGCTACATTCACTAGTGACAGTGGAATTACTAACTGGTATACTCTTCTGCTTGGAGTACCCAACTCGGCTGTTCGATACAGTAATTCTTGGTTCATGACAAAGTCGCTGATGGGTGCTGGTGGCTTCACAGTCAGAATAAGATCTTCCTGGAGCAGGAATCGAATCACACCAGACCACATGGGATCTGTTCTTTGAGCATTCTTTACATCCTCGGCAGTAAATGGAGGGTCTGCAGTTACTAGACTAACATGTCGCGACAAAGCATCTGCGACTACATTTGACTTGCCAGGTAAGTGTTCAAAGGTAGGATTGAACTCTTGGATAGTCAAGGTCCATCTGGCTAACCTTCCAGTAGGTTGTTTGTTCTGGAATAAAGGTATCAGTGGAGCATGGTCCGTCAAGACATGAACAGGGTACTGATAAATAATGTCTCGGAAGTGCTTTAAAGACCATACTGTTGCTAAAACTTCTTGCTCAGTTACTGTATAATTACGTTCAGCCTTCGTAAGGACTCGGCTAGCAAATGCAACTGCGTTGTACTTGGATCTTACTATCTCGTACAACATGTAAGGATGGCTTAACAAACAAACCCTTTACTTTGCAAGAATCACTGTCAACTAGGACGTTATCACTATCTGGAACACGAAGAACAACTGACACTCTAGTGAGGGCACTAGCCGTGACAGAAACGTCTTTCTGCAGACGGCATGTGACATCAACAAGAGATGGCATTACTAGTTGCAAGTAATCGTTTTCCGACAAGGTGTCCCCTGTGGAGAAACTACCACTTGAACTAGCAGACACTGCAGGGATAGGCTCAGCACTCAAGGTAATCAGAGCGTCCTCGGACACTTGAGGTAACTGGACACTATCTTGCAAGTCTGAAGTTGTAGGTGGAACACAGACAGGAGTGACAGGATCACCAGTGCCTGACCGCTTGGGTACGCTACTGGAAAATGCACTGGCTTGTAAGGACTTAATCCGAACGTCGTACACTGTGGCAGTATGGCAGATCTCGGATCCAAGCTGGTAACCCCAAAATGGTACGATCAAGTCATCAATTTGGGCATGCCATTGGTAAGTGTCGAGCACAATGCGTAAGTCTCTCATGGAAGCAAATCCCAGTAGAAGATCACCAGGGAAAGTAATCTGGTCGACAACAAGGAAGGAAGGTGAGGGAACTCCGACCTCGGACACGCAGGTGAGAACCAGCTACTCCACTAAGGGAGGACACATGAGTCGATTCTACGAGAAGGACATGTCGTAACTGCTTATCCTTAAACTAGACCTGATAATACTGACTTGCGCACCAGAGTCCATGAACACATGAACGGGCGCATTATGAACAGATGCTTGTACTATGGGACCTATCGTTGTATTGGAAGTTATGTGCAAACAAAAAGGAGGATTGTCATCAGAAAAGATTTGTTCCACTTCATCCCCAAAATCATCTACGTCAGAGACGTGTGAAGCAACATCATCAGCTGGATTGTCGTTCTCGAGACTGCTTAAGCCTAAGGCATCAAAGGAATTGTGAACGGGGATGGTGTACTCACTATCACCTACTGTCACCATGGGACGGTTTGACTGGGGCTCTCGAATTCCCCCGAATTGGAAGAATGAGCCTGGTTCTGGTTAGTCTGAGAACCACCACCTCTGTTACCTCTCCTGGTTCTGCGGTTGGAACGGCCACGGAAAGATCTAGAGTACTGAAGGTTGTAGAGAGCATTGCACTCAGATGTGTCATGTCCATGTATTCTATGATAAGTACAGTAGGGAAGATCTGACTGGTACTCATCATCAGTACGACGCCTCTTAGGGTGACTATCAGGACAATTAATTGCAATATGGCCACGGAAACCACAGTTGTAACAAGTCCGGTGACTATGGTTACTGAATGTACTATGAATACTACGAGGTTTATAATGACTCTGTACACTGGTCCTTGGTGATCGCTGAGATGGTTGACGACCACGATTTGTCGCTGTGGCGCAAACAAGAGGTGGTGCAGACTGAGGCATAGGTGTGAAGTTACTTTTGATACGTGGGAAAGTACCCTGGGGGCACAAGTAACGTACATGATTTAGGGCTGTAAGTGGTTCCATCGTCACAGTTGGAGGATTAGCCTCATAAGCACACACGGAAGCAGGCGGCATTAGTTCTTTGATTGCTCCAAAAGCTGCTATTTTAGCAAACGACGCTGTGGACCGTTTATCCTCATCAGGGACAAAGGCTGAGAACTGGTCTGCATTGATAAATGATGGCAAAAGTTTATCTAATCTAACAGCAAATGCACTCAACGATTCATTAGTCATGGGTGTAGCATTCCAGGTATACTGTTTTGAATCACATCTGGGATTTTACATGCTGTCTGACCCAAGTGGGTTTAGCTCTTCTTGTAGATTTATGGGTTTTGAATTGTTCCAGCCAAGGTGTTGATCTAGCCAAGGTGTTCCAGCCAAGGTGTTGTTCCAGCCAAGGTGTTGTTCCAGCCAAGGTGTTGTTCCAGCCAAGGTGTTGATCTAACCAAGGTGTTGTTCCAGCCAAGGTGTTGTTCCAGCCAAGGTGTTGTTCCAGCCAAGGTGTTGTTCCAGCCAAGGTGTTGTTCCAGCGTTAATAAATGTAAAGTCACAATACTATGGCTGGAACACTACCAAAAACCCTCACTTAGAGGAACATCTGCTCTCTTGCCACACTTGTGACCTAACAATGGTCCAGAACTGACCGTAACGTCGTCACAGGGTTCCTCTCAAAAGTGCTGCTTTCTGGCGAAAACCACGTTGTTATAATTACCCTTCAGAGAGGTGGAGCGCTCGTCCAACCCTCAGGAAGCCTCCAGCACGACTAATGAGGCTGAGTGCACTACTCCTGGCCAACACGGTGCTTCAACAGTATGTAGCACACAGATACTTGCGTGTGTGACTCTTGATTTCGAAACAGACGTATGTCATCATCACATCTTCCCCGGGATCTTTCCGGGGAGAAGGGCGGTGTTCCCCCGCGATCACCTGCGGAGATATGTCGTAAGGGGGCAGTGAACCTTTGAAAAAAGAGGCCACAGAGGAATACGATATGGTAACCTACTTAGGATATCAGCAAATTACTCTACAGAGAATACTACAAGTTTATTCAGGGTTTTGAGAACAAGCAAATGTTGTGTGGAATTTGTGTGAATGTGTGTGGAATGAATTGTATAGGATGGGACCATGGGATGAACGTGAGGATGCTGGACTTCTGCCTTTGTATGTCAGGAGAGTAAAACCCTCGAGATAGTAATTAGTCAAGAAGGTCGTTGTTTATGTAAAACAAGGTTACCAAGGCTGGTACAGGTGGTATTAACCCTCACAAAACCTTGTTGTAGGCCAGCTGAAGGAACCAAAGCTGGTACAGGTGGTAGTAATCCCTCACAAAACCTTGTTGTAGGCCAGCTGAATGAACCAAAGCTGGTACAGGTGATATTAACCCTCACAAAACCTTGTTGTAGGCCAGCTGAATGAGCCAAAGCTGATACAGGTGGTATTAACCCTCGGAAAACCTTATTGTAAGCCAGCTGACTGAACCAAAGGTGGTACAGGTGGTAGTAACCCTCACAAAACTTTGTGGTAAGCCAGCTGAATGAACCAAAGCTGGTACAGGTGGTATTAACCCTCACATAACCTTGTTGTAAGCCAGCTGAATGAACCAAAGCTGGTACAGGTGGTATTAACCCTCGGGAAACCTTATTGTAAGCCAGCTGAATGAACCAAAGGTGGTACAGGTGGTAGTAACCCTCACAAAACTTTGTGGTAAGCCAGCTGAATGAACCAAAGCTGGTACAGGTGGTATTAACCCTCACAAAACCTTGTTGTAAGCCAGCTGAATGAACCAAAGCTGGTACAGGTGGTATTAACCCTCACAAAACCTTGTTTTTTCGTTTCAAAAGAGGTTCTTTGATTCCAGTGAGGTGTTCTAGATCCAAGGAATTGCTCCTGGTTTTCTCCAGGGGGAGACATGACCCCCTGTGGGTTTAGCAACTCCCCCGGTTATAATAATATAAATATATTTTGAATATATGATCCATGGGGAAGTGGAGAAGAATTATTCCTCCGTAAGCTATGCGTGTCGTAAAGAGCGTGTCGTAAGCCATGCGTGTCGTAAGAGGAGACTAAAATACCGGGAGCAAGGGGATAATAACCCCTTCTCCTGTATAAATTATTAAATTTAAAAAGCAAAAACTTTCGTTTTCCAATTTAGGTCACATTGCTTCGGTGGGATACGGCCGGTTCGTTAAATTTTTTTTTTTTTTTTAGAAATTGATTTTGCTGTACATTTTGTGGTGTAGTTAGTGAAGAGGGTCCAGGAACTAGAGGAAGTACAAAGGTTCACAAGAGGACTTGCTGTTAGGCTAAGCAAGGTGATTAAGATACACATGTGCAACAGTTGTGTATCTTCATTGTCGAAACGTTTCGCTTACGTGATAGTCTTCTTCAGTTAAATACAGAGGAGAATGTATTGTAGACAGCAAGAGTAGTGACAAGGTAAAGATGATGTAATCAGTCCATCAATCTTGAATAGAATATTCTATTCAAGATTGATGGACTGACCACATCGACTCAAGGTTGAGGGACTGATTACCTCATTCTCCTCCTGTTCTTCAAGTTTCTCCTACGTATGGACTGATGAAGCCACTGTGTGGCGAAACGTTTCCTCAATAAAGATACCCAAGAGTTGCACATGTGTCTAATTTATCAGGCACTAGGATACATGGGAGGCACTAGGATACATGGGAGGCACTAGGATACATGGGAAGCACTAGAATACATGGGAGGCACCAGGATACATGAGAGGTACCAGGATAAATGAGAGGTACCAGGACACATGGGAGGCACCAGGACACATGGGAAGCACCAAGACACATGGGAGGCAGCAGGACACATGAGAAGTACCAGGACACATGAGAGGAACCAAAACACATGAGAGGCAGCAGGACACATGAGAGGTACCAGGACACATGGGAGGCACCAGGACACATGGGAAGCACCAAGACACATGGGAGGCAGCAGGACACATGAGAAGTACCAGGACACATGAGAGGAACCAAAACACATGAGAGGCAGCAGGACACATGAGAGGTACCAGGACACAGAGGAACCAGGACATATGAGAGGAACCAAAATTATCTAATAGATACCCTTGTAGTTTAGCGCTTCTTTTTGATTATAATGATTATAATAATACTCTAATAGATGGAATCCTTAGTGGGCGAAACGTCTCTTAAATAAAGCAAAATTTGGATATCTTTAGTGTCGAAACGTTTCGCCCGCTCAACACACTTCCTTTCTACAGTGTGTCATCCATTGACTGTTGTAATTGCATGTATTCGACGGGAGAAACGTGCTGTGCAGGCGATGTTTCGGCTGTAAAGATACCCATGTGTTGCATCTGTTTTTTATTCTGCAACTTTATTGCAGTGGAAGGTCGTGGTGCAGGTGTGTCTTGGTGGTGGAAGGTCGTGGTGCAGGTGTGTCTTGGTGGTGGAAGGTCGTGGTGCAGTTGTGTCTTGGTGGTGGAAGGTCGTGGTGCAGGTGTGTCTTGGTGGTGGAAGGTCGTGGTGCAGGTGTGTCTTGGTGGTGGAAGGTCGTGATGCAGTTGTGTCTTGGTGGTGGAAGGTCGTGGTGCAGGTGTGTCTTGGTGGTGGAAGGTCGTGGTGCAGGTGTGTCTTGGTGGTGGAAGGTCGTGGTGCAGGTGTGTCTTGGTGGTGGAAGGTCGTGGTGCAGTTGTGTCTTGGTGGTGGAAGGTCGTGGTGCAAGTTGTGTCTTGGTGGTGGAAGGTCGTGGTGCAGTTGTGTCTTGGTGGTGGAAGGTCGTGGTGCAGGTGTGTCTTGTGGTGGAAGGTCGTGGTGCAGTTGTGTCGTGGTGGTGGAAGGTCGTGGTGCAGTTGTGTCGTGGTGGTGGAAGGTCGTGGTGGCAGTTGTGTCGTGGTGGTGGAAGGTCGTGGTGCAGTTGTGTCGTGGTGGTGGAAGGTCGTGGTGCAGTTGTGTCTTGGTGGTGGAAGATCGTGGTGCAGTTGTGTCTTGGTGGAAGGTCGTGGTGCAGTTGTGTCGTGGTGGTGGAAGTCGTGGTGCAGTTGTGTCTTGGTGGTGGAAGATCGTGGTGCAGTTGTGTCTTGGTGGTGGAAGGTCGTGGTGCAGTTGTGTCGTGGTGGTGGAAGGTCGTGGTGCAGGTGTGTCTTGGTAGTGGAAGGTCGTGGTGCAGTTGTGTCTTGGTGGTGGAAGGTCGTGTGCAGTTGTGTCTTGGTGGTGGAAGGTCGTGGTGCAGTTGTGTCTGGTGGTGGGAGGTCGTGGTGAGGTGTGTGTCTTGGTGGTGGAAGGTCGTGGTTGCAGTTGTGTCTTGGTGGTGGAAGGTCGTGGTGCAGTTGTGTCTTGGTGGTGGAAGGTCGTGGTGCAGGTGTGTCTTGGTGGTGGAGGTCGTGGTGCAGGTGTGTCTTGGTGGTGGAAGGTCGTGGTGCAGTTGTGTCTTGGTGGTGGAAGGTCGTGGTGCAGTTGTGTCTTGGTGGTGGAAGGTCGTTGGTGCAGGTGTGTCTTGGTGGTGGAAGGTCGTGGTGCAGTTGTGTCTTGGTGGTGGAAGGTCGTGGTGCAGGTGTGTCTTGGTGTGGAAGGTCGTGGTGCAGGTGTGTCTTGGTGGTGGAAGGTCGTGGTGCAGGTGTGTTTGTCTGGTGGTGGAAGGTCGTGGTGCAGGTGTGTCGTGGTGGTGGAAGGTCGTGGTGCAGGTGTGTCGTGGTGGTGGAAGGTCGTGGTGCAGTTTTGTCGTGGTGGTGGAGGTCGTGGTGCAGGTGTGTCGTGGTGGTGGAAGGTCGTGGTGCAGTTGTGTCTTGGTGGTGGAAGGTCGTGGAGCAGGTGTGTCGTGGTGGTGGAAGGTCGTGGTGCAGGCTTGTCTTGGTGGTGGAAGGTCGTGGTGCAGTTGTGTCGTGGTGGTGGAAGGTCGTGGTGCAGTTGTGTGTTGGTGGTGGGAAGGTCGTGGTGCAGTTGTGTCTTGGTGGTGGAAGGTCGTGGTGCAGTTGTGTCTTGGTGTGGAAGGTCGTGGTGCAGTGTGTCTTGGTGGTGGAAGGTCGTGGTGCAGGTGTGTCGTGGTGGTGGAAGGTCGTGGTGCAGTTGTGTCGTGGTGGTGGAAGGTCGTGGTGCAGTTGTGTCGTGGTGGTGGAAGGTCGTGGTGCAGGTGTGTCGTGGTGGTGGAAGGTCGTGGTGCCGGTGTGTCGTGGTGGTGGAAGGTCGTGGTGCAGTTGTGTCGTGGTGGTGGAAGGTCGTGGTGCAGTTGTGTCTTGGTGGTGGAAGGTCGTGGTGCAGTTGTGTCTTGGTGGTGGAAGGTCGTGGTGCAGTTGTGTCTTGGTGGTGGAAGGTCGTGGTGCAGTTGTGTTTGGTGGTGGAAGGTCGTGGTGCAGGTGTGTCTTGGTGGTGGAAGGTCGTGGTGCAGTTGTGTCTTGGTGGTGGAAGGTCGTGGTGCAGGTGTGTCTTGGTGGTGGAAGGTCGTGGTGCAGGTGTGTCGTGGTGGTGGAAGGTCGTGGTGCAGGTGTGTCTTGGTGGTGGAAGGTCGTGGTGCAGGTGTGTCGTGGTGGTGGAAGGTCGTGGTGCAGGTGTGTCTTTGTGGTGGAAGGTCGTGGTGCAGGTGTGTCGTGGTGGTGGAAGGTCGTGGTGCAGGTGTGTCGTGGTGGTTGAAGGTCGTGGTGCAGTTGTGTCTTGGTGGTGGAAGGTCGTGGTGCAGGTGTGTCGTGGTGGTGGAAGGTCGTGGCGCAGGCGTGTCTTGGTGGTGGAAGGTCGTGGTGCAGTTGTGTCGTAGTGGTGGAAGGTCGTGGTGCAGTTGTGTCTTGGTGGTGGAAG